AAGGCAACACACTCGTGAAATGGCCTTGAAATTGCATATCTCTCATGAGACGATATGTAAATATCTAAGGAATATGGGAAAACTCCATGAAGAAGGTGTTTGGGTGCTTCACGAACTCTCTGATGATCATCGTTTCCAATGTGTGAATGTTGCTTTGTCTCTTCTGGCACGTGAACCATTTTTGGACAGAATTGTCACTGGTGATGAAAAATGGATTCTCTATGTGAGTATTAAATGCCAAAAACACTGGCTCAGTCCTAGACAAAAAATCACTTCTGACCCAAAAAACATGGACTCCATCCACAGAAAGTGATGCTTTGCATTTGGTGGGATATCAAAGGAGTAGTTCATTTCGAACTCCTCAATAAACAAAACTGTCAATGCAGTGATCTATAGTCAGCAACTGGAACATTTAAATCAAGCACTTCATCATAAACACCTTTCACTTGTCAATCAAAAAGGTGTTCTTCTTCTCCACAACAATGCACGTCCAGATGTGGCATGTTTGACACAACACAAGATTATGGAGTTGGGTTGGGAAGTTCTCCCCCACCCACCATATTCTCCAGATTTGGCACCATCAGAATACCATCTTTTTCGTTCACTGAAACACCATCTTAATGGGAACGCGTATGCAAATGTGGAAGGTGTTAAAGAGGACATTGACATGTTTTTTGCTTCAAAGCCAAGTGATTTCTTTAATGAGGGCATTAACAACCTGATTGTAATATGGAAAAGCATCATTGATAAGAATGGAGACTATTTCATTTAATAAGTATTTTGTTTTGATATATAAGTTGCTAGGGTTTTTTCATCTAAAAAAAGCAACATTAATTTCTTGACGACCTAATAGTTATATGATAAAATTCAAAGTTTCAAAAACAAAGTTATAGCAATAGTGTATAAAAAATTCCTTTGAACGCTTTAACATATATCTATCAAAATTATCATTAAATACATAATTTCCAGGAAATTATGCATATAGATATTTACACCATTTCATAAGTTTCATTCAGTTATGTCAATAAGGTAAAAACCTGCAAGGAACAAAGGATTCACTAAATGTATGGTAAATACTAACAATACTGTACCACATAAGTCAATAACTTTCTACAAAACTGCATCAAACACTACATAGCAATATAAATAATACAAAAACTGAGCCATTCCAGAATAGTAGCAGTTAACCATAACATTACTTACAGCAAGACTGTTACAATTATCATCACAAATAGCAGGGTCCAAAATTAATGCTAGAAAACTAGCAAATTGCTGGTTAGTGTTGTTAGTAACACTTAAAAGAAACTAAAAACATTGCTAATACATATTTCAGAAGAAGTATTTAAAGACTCTTATGGTTGACTATCAATACATCCACAAATAACAGTATTGAGAGATCTCTACACTGTTTATAGCCCAAATTTAACCTAAGCTAGATATAAACAAACAGCAATTAAAAGCTTTCACAGAAGAAGACACCCAGATAAATTTGAAGAAAAACTCTACAGAAGCCTAAACAACAGTTCATCCACACATCATCGTGAACAAAAAATTCTTAAGGAAGCTCTGAAGGCATAAGTAGTTTCATAATCCTTTCATATTAGCAAATAGATACAGTTTAATTCCTGTACTAAAATGCTAGTGCTGGTATATCCCAAACAGTTATAAAAAAAGAAGTCTGCATACTGAAAATAAACAAGGGAAAACTGCACACTAAAATGCACTTCACATAGTTATTAATATGAAAAAAAAAAGACTTGTTAAAAATAGCTCAAAAAGTAACTACTCTCGACTCATGAATGTTTCAAATGGCCATCTTTTCCAAGTAGTCCAATTTCCAGGAAGTCTGCAGGACCTGGCAACACTGCCCATGATACATGCATTTTAGTAATTTATAATGCTAGATTATGGGTAAAGAAGTTATTATAGCTGTATTTAACAAGACTGTTTCATTGTGCCAAGTTGATTTTGCAATCTCTGTTTGAACTATATGGCATAGCCAGCCTAAGTGTCAGGAATTGGGGATAGCAATTCTACAGCTTCAACTCATTTGATTGGTTGTCAGGGTAAATAGCACATGGGCTAGCTAACTAAACTCACACCATTTGGCCTCTGTAGTGCAGTTTTGCCACTAATGTGGTTAGAAATACTGTGTCCAAGTGGTCGCTCATAGGAAATAAGATAAAAATTGTGTACACTGCAGAAGATTTTTGTCAACATCCTTCTTAGTTTGTCCAAATATTAGGCCTATTTGTTCTAATGTTTCACCATAACTTTTATTAATAAGATACTTTTTTAGTATAGGGTGGCCATCAGCAGTGAGATACCACAGACTTTGAAAATATGGCATAGAATATATATATATAAATATCTATTCACACTTAATACATAAAATAACTAATAATGATACAGTTACTGTTAATTTTCAGGAGGAATAACACTGCTAGAACTGGAGAAAAAAACAACCTTGAAACAAGTTAATGCCAAGGCCTGAACTAAGTCTAATTATTAATTCGAAACCATGGACAAGCAGATTGCACACCAGACATTTCTATCATTACAGCCACAGACATGGGCCTTCTCAGGACTTTGTTAAAGATGACAGGAGATTAGCAGCCAAAAACATAAGTTATACACTAATTAGTAATTAATATCTAGTAATAACAATAGCAGAAGAATTAGTAACTAACTCAAAATTAGACTTGGGTGATCGTAGGCTACTAACAAATGAAAATCTAAACATATCAGCTGCTGGACACTATACAGTAGGTTTTAGATGACAACAACAAACTGTAATCACAAAGAAGCATAACCCAGAATTTACTGAAAACATTACCTTGTTTACATTAATGGAAGGATACATATTTTGAAACATGGAAGCCATTAGTTTTAGTTGCATTCCTTCTCCTGTGAAATTGTTTAGAACCAACAGAGGATGGTGCTCAAATTGCTTGGCATAGGTGACTTGTCTCCTCAGTGATGATAGGACATCTCTGGCAAGAGAGTAGTTTTGGATTCTAAAAGTAAGAGTGGGCCCTCTGGGAAGCCTTGCAATCTTCATGTACATGCTTATCTTAGTTTTGGTGAAGATAACCAGGTGGGTGACATTCATCATTGCAGCCACACTTACAAAATCTTTAACACTATTTCTTTTCATGACCTACATTGAATTAAACAGCATTAAATATGTTTTTTTTCTTATTAATAAATATTTTTATCTCAAAATATTAAAAAGAAATTTCTTTTTTGAATTTAATTCTTAAATGAAAAAAAAAAGTTCAAAAACTTCAAAGTATTCACAGGTGTGCTCATGATTTAGTAACAGATAAATGTTTTTAAAAATTCATAAGACAAAACTGACATTTCATATAACAATCTTTTCTTAGAAGCATCAAAAATTATTCAGAATCCTAATAATGGTTTGATTTTTGTGTTTATCAGAGACAGGAAAAAAATGGAACAATTTCTACAATTCACCTACTGGTCCGATGGTCTATTAAAAATAATACTGGTTAACTAAACATAATTGAAAATGGTACAAAGTAAAACACAAAAGTAATATTGGGTTCAAATTGTGCATATATTCCAAAAATAACATAAATCTTCATTCAAGCCTCACAAACAATTTGTATCAATGCACCTTTTAATCCATCTTGTGAACATGCAGTAATTAAGTCAAGAATTAAGTGGGATGAATTAATCAAAGTAGTGCTTACCATGGTGCTTGTGAGATAAAAACAGGGTACCAAAGTACAATTATTATATATCGTTAAGTATCCACTACCGGCACTTGTGTTTAAAATTTTTTTTTGCTAAAATTATAATAAATAATCAATTAAAAACAACGTTTTATATTTACACAATAAAAACTTTTATTGAAGCCGTACGGCTTCCACTTTAAAACCTCTACAAGATATTTACTAGTGATTATACCAATTTTCATACAAGATTAAAAATTATGAATAAATGTTTAAAACAAAGTACAGTTGCAATGAAACTAACATTGCAGTTTTCACTATGCTGAGTGCTACCAAGTACAACACTAATAGTGAGTTCCTTTTAGCTAAAGCATGCTTAGTTCATCCAAAAAGTATGTAATTAAACCAAGGTCAATGAGACTCATATTTTTTGAATATTTATTCATTGCCTATTTTTGTTAACCATCTTTTCTTGCATGTAAAACATGTAATATATTACTCTAAAGAAGTCAAAATATATAAAAATTACAGACTACGCTTCAAGCTATGGCCTTTACTTTCTAGATTTGTTCAGTTAGAAAACATGTACCTTCAGATAAACATTAAATTACTAGACTATAGCTCATTTAATAGACATTTACCACTTATATAAGCTATTAAACCTAGTGTGATAGCTAAAACTGGTATAGAATCTTTCATGCTTTTACTCTCTATAATTAAAAAATACCTTCAAATCAGATGCTGTAAAAGGTTCCATCACTTTCTTAAAGTCTCTCATTAATTCCCCAGCATTTTTCCCTAATCGTCCTCGATATATTACAAAAGTATGAGGAGCTTTAACCAGCTCTTCGGGTTCTTTGTTTCCCAAAGCTTGTTGAGCTTTTTTTGCTGATCTTCCTTTCTGTAAAAATAAAAACAAAAGATACAAGCACATGTAGATTCAGCTACAGATTCCTCAATGTCTGCTATTGTAACAGTTTGTAACTCTTATTTATTAAAAAGGAAAAAAGATAACAGTAATGTGGCAAGATGGAAAGCTCCATACCAAGAGAGACAGGAGAGCGGGACAGGCAAGCTGACAAGTGGTGGAGAGGCCTTTGATAAAATGAATAGGCTATAATTTGAATTGTATTATTGTTTCACTACATAAAGACTAATACTGATATTTAGTGGGCCAGTGGTAATTATCTAAACAAGTTATTCTCCATAATTAACACATTATAATTATTATCTTTATCATGCTCATCCTTATGATTGTATTTTCTGACACTTACAGACATGAACACTGTGTTTAGATTAAACTTTGAAGATTAATTTAATCAATATTTCAACAAATCACATTGAAATTATTCTTTACACACTGTGGTGGTAACCAGCAGCCAAGTTTCTAGCAATTTTATGGTGGTAGTTCAGCTTTCTCTCAAACTCCAAGTGCAACTCCTCAATCATTAATAATGGCTAGAGACGGCTTGAATGGGTAATGAAGAAAAACTTTAATATAAGTTTAACATAACAGCAAATGTACAACGTTTCGACAAGCCGTCAAATTTTACTGATGGCCAATGCACAACATTGTTAGCAGATTATGTTTAAATTCATCCTGTAAGTTGACCCACAAACCATTTTGACTTTCTAAATTTTAATTTGCACCATCAGTTGACTTTTGCACTACACCATTTTCATAGGCACATCTCATAGAAACTTTTTAGTGATTGTAAGAGATCTGTAACAAACATGCATGATGGTTCCACTATCCAAGCTTTTTGTCTTTAGTTAACTTTATTGTGTTACAAACCAAACTGTTGTGAATTTGAATTTAATCAACTGATCCATTAACGGTGATCTCAGTGACTTAGATTTCTTGAAGCAGCTAAGTATGCTGCAGTTATACTTGCAATTTCTCTATGATTGTTGGGATTTACATACAGTATGTACAATCTGAAACATTGGGTTTAAATGGTACATACTGTGGCAATATCTGCCATGTATCTTGAAGGATAGGATCATACAGCAATCAAAATGTACTATGAGAAAAAATTTCTTGAGTTTAGTGAAAGGTTCTTTACATAGCTGTGATATCATACATAGCTAAGGACATTCATCAACATTGCCAGAACAATACAGATGTTGGTGGGTAACAATCTGGACATGGTCTGTATGGTCTATAGATTTCTGCTGTTTCTTCACAACCTCATTTAAGTAATGTGTACCTGACACTATTGCAATTTTGTTTGGGATGTTTCTACATATACTTCAGTTAGAAAAACAAATCTTGCACCTAAGTATGTTTTTACCAATCACTTTAAGCACATCACCTCTGTCATCAAATTATCTTCACAGTTATGGGCATTCTCAGGTTGACTTGACCATTGTATGATGATGGCAGAAGAGAAATTTCACTGACTGAGTGCCTCCTGTTTGTTTAGATGAAGTAGATACTGTTCAATGTTCGTCACATTTTCTGCTGTCCTTTAGATTTGGGCAGAACTGACTACATACAAATATATATACATACATATACGTGTACTTAGTAATACGTTAACCTGTAGACAGCCGGTTTAAGCGATATAATTTTGTCTCTATCTTTTCTTGTTTATAACAATTTTATTTAAGGAAAATAACAAAGTGATATATTAACTTGTGCATAGCCCATTGAGATCTCATGATCGTCAGCTAAATCTTATAATTGGTTGTTTGATATTAAGGTAGCCAGACGGAGAACGACGTTGTTGTAATCAACGCAAAATTAACAGTTAACTTCAGTCACAACCACATTGTTTAAAAAAAACGACAAAAAAAATCATTAACTGTTTGTGCACTCTTAAACAAAATATGAACAATAGGAACGGATGTGGCAGTATTATCGTTTCGCTGGATCATTCTGACATTGGTTTTTAAAGGATCTGGAGATGATTATACTAGCAGTGTTTGGTAACCGTGCGCGTGTTTGTATGTAATTAAGCACAAAGCTACACAATGGGCTATCTGTGTTCTGCCCGCCACGTGTATCGAAACCCGGATTCTAGCGTTGTAAGTCCGCAGACATGCCGCCGTGCCACTAGGGGGCCCGTGCGCGTGGTTTATAATCGCTAAATAGCGCACCTCAATCTTGACATTTGCACTATCATGTAATTACTAGAAATCGCAGCTCAATTTTGTGCATTACCATGCAATCGCTAGATAGCACAGCTCAATCTGGATATATGTGCGCTATCATGTAATTGCTAGATAAGGCAACTCAATCTTGATATATGTGCGCGGCATGTAAACGCTAGAAGGCTTAGTTCATTCTTGATAAATGTGCGCCATCATGTAAATAGAATGAATCTCAATATGGATACCATGGTCATCTAGCGCCTTTTTGTTTCAGTATTTCAGTGTTACGTGTATTTATTTTAAAAAGTTAATAGGTGCTTATTATCAGTTGTCATAAATCTCAGCTTCCTGAGAACAACCTTTAATTAATAGATTACTTGTGTGTTTCTCTATTGCACAAGTATTTTCTAGAAGAGAAAAAAAAGACGTTTGTTGTATATATATCCTGAGGATGACGTAAGATATACGTTGAAATATGTAGTGTATGAGATTGTTTTCCAGTCATGTCGGGAATTTTACCACTTTTTAACCTTGTACAATAAGTTATTATTTTAGTAATTTGGAGACTGGAAACAATCTCATGTTATTGAATTGTGTATAAAATAATCGTTGTTTTAAAATATTTTCTTTTAGTTTTCAAGTTCTAAAATTAGTTTAACTGCACGCTTTCTCATATTTCAACGCTTGAAGAAATGTTTGTCTGTGACATATAAATTATATAACTATTATTTCGTTCACTGTTATACAACTGAAACATCTGTTTGTATTGTTTGTCGAAGGTGAAAAAACAAACAACAGATACTCAAGAGAAAACAATTTTAAAGTATAACCTTGAGGAAGAAAACCAGGAGTAATTAAATCTGTAGTACACTTCAAATTAAAGCCAACCAGTGAAGAGCCACTTAAGCTAAGTATGATTATACTTTGACTAACGACGAATATAATTCAACTCGTTTATTGTTTCAGAGTGTTTATATGTATATATATTAACATGCAAAATTATATGAGAATTCACACATTACTATTTCAAAGAAATAATCAAATGGAAAACGTTAAACGTCACTCTATGTTTTTGAAAATAGATAAATGCGCTAAGAATGTGCCTGGGGGAGGGGACAGTCCAAAAAAAAAGAGAAAATTTATCTTAAATAACTTTTACTGAGACCTTATGAGTGAAGGCAAAGTAGGATATGTTATAATATGTCATTCGCACTGCATCTGTCATATCCACTGCCGATAAGACATTTAGCCCCAAATCAAGGATCATCAGGCCTGCAGGAATATGACAAACAGAGTGCTGGTTTAGGTTTTATTTTTATCATAAATGCCCATCAGCTATGATTATTATGGTATGAATTAGATTAAGTAAGTGAATTGTAATTATTATCAATTCTATTTAAGTCATCTACAGCTACGATTTTTAGAGCAGAGATTAGTTACACTGTATTATTTATTTTATTTCTAACATCAGTTATTTATGTATTATAATTATTTAATTTCCATTAACTTTACTATCATTTAGTAGAACGGAAGAAAAACTAAATCAGTAATTTTAAGAATATATGACTTTATCTTGATGTCCCTTAGTAACCGCGACATGTCATACCTATGCTGCGCGATATTTTTCCCGCACAATCTCTCAGATCGTAAACTATAGGGAAGCATTTTTTTTTAGCCTAAGAGGATCCGCTCTGACAAAATTTGAGAACTACTACTATAGAAGGCTTTACTGTGCTGTGAATGTATATTATGACTAGAAATTTTTTGGGATTTTTTATTACTCCTTCTCACAATTTGTTTATGTAGGAAAGTGCTTTATGTTTAAAGTTTCGATTCTGAGTAAAATTAAGCGAAAACATTTTCACCCCAAAACAAGAAAAATTACATTTAATTTAAAATTACGATTGCGCATTTTGTGACGAACAGTCTGAAGACGAGAGTTTTCTGTTTGTTTTCTAACGTTCGCAAAAAGATAAAAAATATAGTGCCTGCACTAGCTGTTCCTAACTTTGAACTACAGGGAATTTAACTATTCAATAGCACCCACCACCATCTCTTGGGACACCCTAAATGAATATTGTTTTTTGATAGTCACTCTTATGACACACATAAGGGCCCCAAATGTGGAGACTTTTTAGTGGCAACGAGTTGCAAGTCATGGATCCTCAGATCCACGGTCACTGGGAAGACCGAAGAGAAAAGAGCCCGATAGAAATCATACTCTTCCTTTGAATAATCTTTCGACATAAATAGACACTCAACTATATGTACAAGGTATTTCTTGTTATATCAAATTTATCAATAAAACATTCTTATTTCTTCTGTATTTACAGATCTTAAGAATATATGATCAAACTTTCGTGATTATGCATTAGAAATCTATTTGTTTATTCTTGTCATGACTTGGTCCTTCATTTTCAGACTTGGAACGTACTCTGATTTGTTTGTTTGTTTGTTTTTGAATTTCGCGTAAAGCTACACGAGGGCTATCTGCGCTAGCCGTCCCTAATTTAGCAGTGTAAGACTAGAGGGAAGGCAGCTAGTCATTACCACCCATCGCCAACTCTTGGGCTACTCTTTTACCAACGAATAGTGGGATTGACCGTCACATTATAACGCCCCAACGGTTGAAAGGGCGAGCATGTTTGGTGGGACGGGGATTATAATTATAATTAAGTCTAAGAAAACAATTTTGAAATTAATAAGCTTTGTTATTATGTATGTAACAAAATTAGAATTTTATATAATCATCTGTATCACAATAAGTCCCTTAAAACATAAATTGAATCACGTTAGGTGAAAAGTATTAATTACACTGAAGTTAATTGCATTTTATAAGAATGTTCGTTCCTTGGAACTGCTTCATCCAATGTCATTCGTTTATAACCTAATGATCACGATTACGTACTCTTGAACAACATTACTATTATAATTGTAATAAGTTTCTGCGAAAGATGATAAGGCCAAATATTAGACCAAACAGATAAAAAAACGTCCACAGAGTCTCCATCACAGTGGTTTTCTGAGTACATGGGTTCTCTTTCATAACCACAGCATTCATTTTGAGGACGAAGGCAATGCTTTGGTTGGGCGTGGATGTACTTTAAGAGGTCATTGCTGTTTTGAAGTTCGATGTAAAGAACATCGGTTGGAGATAATTTAGGTGAAAAGGGGTATGGCTTTGGTTAGTTCCAAAAGGATTAGGAGATTACAGCACTAAAGCAGTAAGTCTTTAGAAAATTATTGAAAGGATCGGCAGTCTTTCTTGTTTAGTCTCGTTGGCATTACTATGTTTCAGAAATGTTGCAAAGAACTGATAAACGGTCTTCGAGATAATATTTCTTCACTGATATTTTATGTAGATCTGATATTAATTTTCAGAAATAACGTTTACCTGGATGATTCTCATTCTTTTAATTGAAAGTATTTTGAGCATTTGTTTGACTCAGAGATAGCTAATCGAGCTGCTATTATCATTGAAAGATGTCTTGTAGAGATAATAATGTTTATTTTTATGGATGGTGTATCGAGTCGATATTATTGACTTTTAGAAATATTTTATCAAACAAATCTTACTTTTGCTCAGATATAAAGTGTTGTGCTGGCGTTTTTATCATAGTTGTTGTGATCTTTTCATAGATAGTTTGTCGAGATGCTTTTTATCAGAGGCGTCGTGCTGTGCATGCACATGTTCTTTTCTCTGAGATGGTGTGCCAACCTGATTTCTTTCCATACTAAGACAGTGTGTCGAGCGCGTGTCATTTCATCTCAAAAATTTTTTGTAGAGCTCGTATTATTTCTTCTTGGAGATAGCGTTACGAGCAAACATTTCTTCTCTGGATAAATAATCTCGAGCAGATATTTCTTTTTTCACAGATAGTTTGTCGAGAAAATTGATTATCCTCTTTGAGGAGAAAAGTTAAGATTTTATATTGGACTTGGTAGAATAATTACATTATATCTAATAATCAAACAAATATTTTATAACCGGTATCAAATCTCATTTCTTGTCTTACAGGAAGAGATTATTTCCTGTTTTATCGTAAGGCTGCCCCCCATTGGCACAGCGGTATGTCTGCGGACTTATACCGCTAGAAACCGGGTTTCGATACCCGTGGTGGGCAGAGCACAGATAGCCCTTTGTGTAGCTTTGTGCTTAATAACAAACAACAACAATCGTAAGGCTACTTGGTTCTTATCATAAAGAAGCTGCTGAAATGGGACGTTGCTTCTAGCATTTTGTAGGGCATATAAAAATATTTTTTCTTATTAATACAATTTAAGCAGTTTATTCGCCAGTTCATGTATTATCTATGTAGTTAAATCTCTGTTGTCAACGTGAAAGGCAACACCTTTCTATTGCATTCAAACCACGTTAGATATTTATATGTGTAGATTTTTACTTCCTTTTCAATGATAGTCATTAACGTTTATTCATAATAAGTCAATATGTGTTAATAACGTCATATATGGTATGATTGTCATACATTGTTATCATATATTATAGCGTTAGAAGTCTGCATGAGTTTTTAAAGTTTCAGAAATGTTTAAATTTTGTCCTCCTGAATCTTTATAAAACTTTCCTTTTTACAGGAGCAATGAGATGTTTTCGGCGAAAAATTAATTATATATGAAAAATAGTCCTGTAATTCAGTGAGCGTTTGTAACAAATTTGATATGCCAAAAACACTCAAGTAATAATAAAAACGTATAGATAGATATACGTTTGTACAGCAATATTTTGATTTTAACACTTTTTAACTTGGGTAGCGAGCATGAAAGGTGAAGTAAGCACGAACAAAAACATTCTTATTCTAGAAGTAAAATCATTTGATCTGAAGAAAAACTTTATTCTACCAACGTTTCGGTTTACGTGTCCTTTTGAGTGAAGCGTTTTTACAACAACACAACTTACAAACAATATTAGTACTAGCTGTAAGCCGTAAAGTATTTGTTTCAATGCTCTTCGCTTGAATTTTCCTTATTATATCATTTTCACGCACACCATTTAAGCTACGCTTATTTTGTAGGTAATATGTGTTCGATCTACTAACCTGATCCATTTTTTAAAAAATTACGCGGTCATACAAACAAACTCACGTAGACTTAACTTTATTTAATAAAACTACTCTTAAAATAAAGTAATGATATCTATAACAGTGTACAGAGTATGAAACAATTATGAGCGTCACAAAAACGAATAATAAAGCCTATACTAAAGAAAAGAGTAGCTAAAACGTGTTTTTAGCTGTATATGAAACGAACCGAAGCTAAATTATTGCAAAGTAATGTAAATGTAAAGTTGTAATAAAAGCAAACTTAGCTGATTATGCAGAAACGTCTGAATGAGTGTTCACAAAATGATACACACATGGCTTTGAACGAATTGCGCATGCGTATTTTACACCTGAAGAAGTCGATAAAACCCTTAAAAATTTTATTTATGTAATGCTCATTTTTTAAGGAAGTTACACCCGGATTAAGTGTTGATTGTGTGAAATACTTTGTAAATAAAAATATATAAAGTTGAAATCGAAACTAGTCATCGTGTGTGACAACGACACTGTGCCATCGTGTACCATATTTGTTGCATTGAAAGGCTTAACTAAACAAAAGACATGTAAGGTGATTTTGAATTGAAAAGCCAATATGTAACCAGGAATCCTCGGACAAAGGGCTTTCTAACGATATGAGATTTGTAGCGTTTGATCGAGAAATTTGCGAGAAAAGTTGCGAACAGACAAACGCAGGCGTATTATTTATATAAATACTAATGACAAGTCTTAGAACATAGTACAACCCGTTAACCGAAGAAGGATATTACAACAATATAATTTTAAAAGTAGTTTTATATCATAAACACGTGGACATGTATCATTAATGCTTAATGGCAAATAACAAGAAAAAAAGGAATACTTGAAATGAACATACATTGATAAGTTCCCGAAAATTAAACAGAAATTGTCTTACGAACAAAATACAAAAATATTGGTTATAATCGATTAAATTAGTCACGAGTTGGCGGTGGTGATGTTGAATAGTTGCCTTTCCTATAGTCTATCAATTCAAAATTAGGGACAGTTAACGCAGAAAGCTCATGTTTAGCTTTGCGCTAATATCCATAACAAGCAAACTGATAAACATAAATCATTCCTAAATAATGTAATTATATTACAGTTTCTAGAAATCAGTCTTTAGCTACGAGTATGTACATTCAAATAATTACCTTCAAAGCTGTTGATCTCTCGCCTGTTTATAAGAACACTAAGTATATGAAACTGACAACATTGTCAGTACGTGGCGGCCCACTGCAACCGTTTGAGGAATGTTTTTAACACTGTAGTATTTTTTCATTACTAGATGTTATCTCGACTCTTAAACGTGATATTTTCTACTTCGGTGGCTCCAGCGGACCGAGGTTTCTACTGAAGTTATACTTAAGTAAACAAAGAAACACTTTATCCGTGGTTATTGAGTAAGAACTGACTAGCAGACTCCTTTCATCACTTTTGAACCAGACATTGTGACTTAATTCATTAATTATATACTGATATTAAATCACCGAGTTCAATTTGTCCTTGTGCAGTAAAGAAGGATGGAGAAAACAGTTATGGATAATTACAATGAATATCATTTACAGGCTTAACAATAGTTCGGGTTTAGCATGAATGTGTGTGAAAGTGAAAAAGGAAAACTGATGAAGTTCTCCCATAATGGATGAAAGGTCTTTTCTCACCCAAGGGCTAATTGATTGGGTTTTGATATTTGCTTTACAATAGAACTAACATAAAGTTACCAACAACGATTTGTTTGTATGAAGTTAAGCACAAAGCTACACAATGGACTATCTGTGGTCTGACCACCACGGGTATCGAAACCCGATTTCCAGCGTCGTATGTCCGCAGACATACAGCTCTGCCACTGGGGGCACCAACAACGAAGGAGACGAAAACTGATAAACAGCAAAAGAATGATTCAAAAGCAATATACACTGTCTTTGTATTTAACTGAGAATGAGAAGAAGCTCTGTTAATGATATTGAACATTTGTTGTTTTTATTATTATTAACAAAGCTAATTAGCCTAAGTAAATTTTTTCATTTTGATGTAAGTTGTTTTGGAACATTGCATTTTAGTTGTATCTAAACAATTTAATTTGATTATAGTTATATAAAATGTTGTTTATGATTTGTTACGTATTATAATTTCAAATAGCTTGAAATTGAGTTAACTGACAAATTTAAATTTAGTAGTTAAATCGCACTTTGGATTTAGTAGTTAAGTAAAAGCTGATATATAGTCAGTTCATAATATTTGCAAACAAGATTTTTTACACACAGTTTTCTTTTTTAACACAAATACGTTTTATTATACACACACCAGTATAAGTTACAATAACAGTTATTACAAATAGTTATTACAAACAATTATTTATAAACAAAAGTTTCACAAACTTACAAGCAATATAAAGTCTTCCTTTTAGTCTGGAACTTCAATATCTTATCGAGGGTTCGCGATCAGCGAGTTAATTACGAGTTGATGTAAGTACAATTCGCTTAACGGGAAGCTAGCTAGCTTTGTCCTTGTTATCCACCAGCCACACACACACCGGGTTTTCCACCGTGATGTTTTTTTGTAAAAAATACTAATGTCCGATGAGAATCCACTGAACTTAAATGAGTTGTAATGGTCGAACTTTGCAAATGCTCTTGGTCAAATATCTGAAGTTTTTCGACTGATAAGCGTTATAACATTCACAGTTATAGCTTCCAAAGTTTGTAGCACACTGACTATAGTAAACTAATAATAAATATTCTATTTTTCGGCGCGTCGAGTTGGTTATATTTATAGGCGTGTAGAGGCGTTCTAGAAATTTCAGTTTAATTTAAGCGTTTACGTATATACATATAGTGTTGATTCTTACTCTCGAGAATCTTCTATAACTTTGAAAAATAGGCGGGAGTTTCACAATATATATTTAACAGTATAAGCTATCTATGTTTTTAAGTATAAATTTAATCTAAACAAACGTTGATATTAAAGTAAATACATAATAACAAATTCGTTACAGATTCAAGTAGAGAAACTTTGATTTTCTTTTCAGAAATAATTATTTGTGTAAGATATTGATCTCGTGTGCGATAAACTCTGTATTGTACTGGCGTTTGAGAAAGAAATAGAAAAGACAGGAGTTCAACGAAAAGAGTGGGGAGAAGACTGGGAGATGTTTGAGAGACGAAGAAATAAAATAATATGCTGTCAGTAAGAAACAAAATCTATTTTTGAAGCTATGTGTTATTAATTATCAGTAACAAATAGCAATTTAAATAACTAACACAAGGTAATTTTAAACATGTGAATTTTTTCTCTCTTATCACACTTTGACATCAGCTCACGGCTACTGGATTTCTTATTTAATTTAGGTGCTACGTTCTTTATGGCTAATGTTTCTTTTAATCTTAACCACTGCTCATTTTCAACCTTTCCGATAATTTGGAACTGTTCAATTTCTACATTTACATTCACGCATTCTTCTTTATGTCAACACCACCCACCGCCAACTATTGGGCTTCCTTTTACTCACGAATAACGGATTGACCATCATATTATATAAAGCTCCTACGACTGAAAGGGCGAGCATGTTCGGCGACGGGTTTCGATCCCGCAACCTGCATATCGATTGAACCGAAGTTTATATACATGTGTAAATAATTCGTTTAAAGCATCATAAAGTATCTTCGAAAATGTTTCTATGAGGATTTAAATGTTTGTCAAAAGCAGAATCTCTTGAAGGTCGAATAGTTTCACTATTTGATCGTTATATCTGCCAGGACACAATTATTACAAATGACAAATTTCTATCTAATATAAACACGAACTACTTGCACATATCGTGTACTAAGTATTTTGGAAAATTTATAGTTGTAGCTTTAGAATGAAAAATAGATTTTTCATTCTTTTTGTGGCAAAAAAAGGAATTTTTCAGTTCCAAGCTACATGTTTATACTTTGCAGAATGATGACTTCATTAATTGTTTGTTTTACTGTAGTAATATTCTTATACTTACGCATTGCAGAGTATGATTGAATGAACAATAATAATCTTATGTTTACACATTATAGACTGATTACTACATGAACTATTTACTTTACAAAGTAATATTCCTCATAGAATTATCAATCTAAATGCATTCAGTTGCTAAATAGTATTACTTTTCAGTCAACGATATTTCCAGTCTTGTGGTACTGTTGTATAACGCCCGGCATGGCCAGGTGGTTAGGGCGCTCGACTCCCAATCTGAGGGTCGCGGGTTCGAATCTTCGTCCCACCAAACATTCTCGTCCTTCAGCCGTGGGGGCGTTATAATGTGACGATTGGCGGTGGGTGGTGATAACCAGCTGCTTTCCCTCTAGTCTTACACTGCTAAATTAGGTACGACTAACGCAGATGGCCCTCGTGTAGCTTTGCACGAAATTCAAAAACAAACTGTTGTATATATAACAGCGTTTTAAATAAAGATAAGTTCGTTGCGAACATGTTTAAGATATAAAAATATTCATACTATAATTTTTCCCCTTATAGAAAGTGACGTATTTCCTGTCATACATTCCACGTGCATCATACTACTTTCTTCAAGTTGTAGAAAAAGTTTAAATAATTCATTTTTGTTCTTACCGTTTTTCCAAATAAACTGAAATGTGATTTTTTTTGCTACTAAATGATGTATTAATATCGTCTCTTTTCTTGGAATAAGAAATAAGATCTTGTATAATACAGTTTTCTCAAATACTAGAAATATTAATGAGAATACTCGTTTATATCGAGTAGGCCCATTTTCCTGAACCTGGTCGTATTTATCTATCCATTTTTCCTTCCACCATCGTCATGCTGTTCACGTTTATGACGGAATAAAATGAGACTAAACTTAACACAAAGCTTCAATCTTGAGCAACAGTTTTTTCCAGCATTTTAAAGATGAAATATTGAAATTAGAAAACAACACTTTTTTATTCACGTACGTAGATACTTTTAAATGAAACATACCCACAATATCCTTGTGTGTA